GTCACTACATTGTGGTTGAAATTGGAGCAACTTTATATGATAAAAGAGCTTGACCAGCAGTTATACTTGAAATAACGCTTGTATTTTCATCGGATGTTCAAAGGTATGCAATTGGATGATCACTTAACTATGTTCAAAGAAATTGTAGTCGATTTGGTGACATTGAAGATTAAGTACGTTGATGGGGACTTGGCATTGATGTTGTTGTATTCACTGCCGCCATCATATGTGACTTTTAGAGATATCATTCTCTATAATAAGTACTTTTCCATGGATGAGGTCTATGATGTTTTACTATCGAAGAAGAAGACGAGGCATCTTGCAAGTGGATCTGGGATTCAGGCTGAAGGCCTGATTGTTCATGGGAGAAACCAAGATAGGAATCTTGATAGGAATATGAGGAGTAGATCTAAATCCAGACATATAGAAAAAGTATGTCATTACTATAAGAAGAAGAAACATATTAGAGTTGATTGCTATTCATTGTAAAACATAAATAAAGCTAATGTTGCTACTGATAAAGGAAAGCAACTTGTTACATAGCGGAGGCTGATGTTGTGGAAGATGGACAAAGTGAATGAGAGTTTCTTGTAATTTCTGACAAGGGTTCCAAACTTTGTGAAGAGTAGGTTCTTGACTCGTTATGTGCTCATATGTGTCCAAAGCGGGATTGGTTTTAGAACATATGAAAGAGTTTCGAGATGTGCAGTGATTATGGGAAACAATACGCTTTGCAAAATTGTTGAAGTTGGTACAGTCAAAATTAGAATATTCGATGGTACTATTAGAACACTTATAAATGTAAGGCAGGTTTCAGAATTGAAGCAAAATTTTATATCTTTGAGTAAACTTGACTCAAAGGGTCATAAATACATCGGTGAAGGTAAAATTTTGGAGGTGAGTCAGGAAGCTCTTGTTGTCATGAAGGGACAGAAATACTCTAGTCAATTATACATTTTGTTGGGTTCCATATTCTCAGGGAATGTAGCAGTCTCTACTTTTTTTACTTGATGAGGAAAATACTCAACTTTGGTAAATGCAACTTGGGCATATGGTAGAGTTCAATAGGAAGGGAGTCGTTTTGTGAGCATTGTATTTTTGGAAAATAGAAAAGAGTCGGATTCACTAAAACAAGACACAATACGAAGGAAACATACGAATATATCCATTTAGATCTTTAGGGATCGGCCAGGGTGCCTTCAAAATGAGATGCTTATTACTTATTGACAACGATTGATGACTTATCCAAGAAAGTTTGGGAATTTTTCTTAAAACAAAAGAGTGACGTGTTTGGGACATTCAATGAGTGGAAAACATTGATAGAAAAGCACATGAAAAGCAGGTAAAATGTCTATATACAAATAATGGGTTGGAGTTTTGTTCATATGAATTCAATAGTTTCAACAGGGCTGAAGGCATTTTGAAACACTTAACAATGCCTGAAGCTCCTCAACAGAATGGTGTGGCAGAATGGATTAATAGAGCTTTAATGAAAAAGGTTCGTTGTATGCTTTCAAATTCTGAATTGCCTAAGACTGTTTGGGCTGAAGCTATTACTACAGCTTATTTTCCTATTAATCGCTCACCATTAGTTACCATTGAGAAAAGGACACCAGAAGATGTATGGTCTAGTAAACCTTCTTATTATTCAGATTTGAAAATATTTGTGTGTCCAACTTATGCTCATGTGAATAATGAAAAAGTTGTAGCCCAGGTCTAGAAAGTGTATCTTTCTTGGATATAAGATATAAACTATGGTGTTCTAAGACGAGAAATGTGGTGGTTAGTAGAAATGCCGTATTTGATGAACTTGTTATGGTTCATGGGTAGTAGATCAATCTAGTTCAGAGTTTACAGATAGTAATACTTTATCCACACCACCAGCAATACCACAATATTCAATTGCTAATGATAGACCTCGTAGACATATTAGACCTCCACAGAAGTATGGAAAAGCACATTTGGTAGCTTATATATTGGGCGTGGCTAAAAATATTGATTTTATTGAGGAGCCTACTACATATTCAAATGCAGTCCATAGCAGTAATTTTAGCATATGGTTGATTGCTATGCTGGAAGAGAATGAGTAATTGAATAAAAAGAGTATTTGGGACTTGGTGAAATTACCTAACTATAAAATGGTTGTTCACTTCGAGTGGGTGTCCAAAATGAAGGAATGGATATCAGGGACTGAAAATACTAGATATAAGGTCAAATTGGTAGCAAAAGGTTACAACCAAATTTTAGGTGTTGATTTCACAGATGTGTTCTCACTAGTTGTAAAGCATAATTTAATTCGGGCTTCACTTGGAATAGTAACGAAAAATGATTTAAAGTTTGAACAGATGGATGTCAAGATATCATTTTTGCATAGAGAACTTAACGAAAATATTTACACGCAACAACTAGAGAGTTTCATAGTTTCTGAAAAAGGAAGACTATGTCTGGTAGTTGAAGAAGCCATTGTATGGACTGAAACAGTCACCGAGGCAATGGTATAAAAGGTTCGATTCATTCATAACTACTCATAGTTTCATTAGAAGTAATTATGATAGTGGTGTATATTTTAGAAAGGAGGATTATGAATCGATCACATAGTTCTTATTAAATGTTGATGATATGTTATAGCAGCCAAGGATAAAGCAGAGGTCAGAGAGGTAAAATCTTAACTTTGTAAGGAGTTTGAGATGAAAGATTTGAATGCAACAAATAAAATTCTTGGTATGAAAATCTTAAGAGATAGAAAGGCTAGCAGATTGTTTTTGAGTCAAAATGGGTACATTGAGAATGTGCTTCAAAGGTTCAATATGCTGAATGCTAAGGCTGTCAATACTCTCTGAGCTGCCCACTTCAAATAATCATTTAGATTGTGTGCTCAATCAGATGAAAACATTGATTGTATGTCTTGGGTGTGCAGTTGGTTCGTTTATATACATTATGGTTGTAAAAGACCAGATTTGGCACAGGTAGGTAGTAAGCATACGTCAAATTCTGGCAATTAACATTGAAAAACACTGCAATAGATATTTAGATACTTGAGGGGCTCTATTAATGCTCGTTTACATTTTAGTAGAAATATAGATGGAGTCATTGGGTACATGGATTTAGATTATGCAGGGATTTTTGATAAGAATAGATAACTTATAGGGTATGTCTTTACCTTCGAAGGTTGTGCTATCTAGAAAGCTACTTTGCAAAATACAGTAGCTTTATCTACAACAAAGGTACAGTAAATGGTCATTACAGAGGCATGTAAGGAGACTATATAGTTGAGGGGATTGATTGGTGAAATCACTAAAGACTTGTAAAATTTTACAATATATTGTGATAGTCAAAGTGCTAATTTTCTTACTAAGGATCAGATGTTCCATGAAAAGACTAAACACATTGATGTAAGGTATCATTTTATGTGTAATGTGAGTACTTGTTGTGATATCGTAGTGAGTAGGGTTGATACTTAGGATAATCCTGTTGATATGATGACAAAACAACTTTCCATTGCTAAATTTGAGCATTATTTGAACTAAGTTGGTGTTTGTCATTGACTTAGCCCATTGGGGCTTGTTTGGAATAGGAATAGTAGTGTTTACTTTGGGGATGTATTTTGGAATTCCTTATATTGAAATTTGGTTCAAAATAGAGATTTGTTGTAATTTGACTCAAATTTTGGTGGATAGTTGAGTTTCAGTTGAATGGTCTTGAAGAGATCAAAATTATAGATTCTAAAGAAAAGTCGTTGTATTTTTTCTAGTCTGTCGCTAGCTGGTCGCTCGGGCAGCACCTGCATATTTTCTCCAGAGATTTTTCGTTCTCTTGGTGCTTGAACGACGGAATAGTTGCCCACCTATCGCTAGCATGTCGCTCAAATAACAAAGTTATCGAGCCCAGACCCATTTTGCGTTTTTTACACGTTTTTGGGCTCCTATTCATTTACAGCTTAATTTCTAGGATTTATATGTATAAGTCACGGCTTGTTTTATTCTCATAACATTTAACAACATTAAGAGTTTTAGATCTTAATTGAGAGTATTAATATCTTATTGTAAATACAATTACTATTGATTTTGCCTATGATTTTTTTCTATCTTGAGCTTTCTCATAAATCTTGATGTTCTTATATTGTTCTTGTTTATTCATTATTATCATTATCTTATGGTCAATTCGTAACAAAGTTATTAAATCTGGAATTAGATTAAAAGAGGCTGTTTGGAGCAACTTTTCCACACAAAAAAAGAAGCAATTTTTGACCCTTTTTTGGTCAGTTGGGACCCACCAATGAGAGCTGCTGTCAACAAAGACGGCTGCAAATGGGTGGCCAACGGTCAAAAAAATATTTTTTCTCCCTAAAAATTTCCTCCAATTTGGGGCCAAATTTGTTACGCCACTAGAGAAAATGTGGCTTAAAAGGATAAAAATATCGGGTGGGGGAGGGGCGGGGGGAGGGTAAAACTATTGTGTTAGGGTGCAATTAAAAATATTTGATGTGATTGACTATTAAGCCCCCGTTTGTTTTTCATTTTTTGGACATTAAAATGAAAAATATGATCGTTATCCATCACATCTAGCCATCATATTTCACTTTCTATTTCTTGTGTGGGGCCCATAACGACTATATTTTTCATTCTCATTTTTACATTAATGTATATCAAACGGAGCCTAAGTTTGTTCATCTTAAATCTTAATACATCTAATTATTATGCGGGTTCTAAGCTTTTTTAATTGAGAAATTAGTGAAGTGGCCCAATATTAATGGATTGATCGCTGTTGGACAGGAAATCACTTTGTTTTGGTCCTTAATAGATCCATTTGATTAATGGCAATGTTGAAATTTTACAAGATTTGGGCTACTAGTAAAAGATTGAACTAAATAGTAACCAAAAAGATCATTTCTGGGAATAATTACTCTCATTACAAGACTATGCAAAATATGTCACATCCTTTTGAGTCGTCCTTTCTTTAAACTAAGATAATGATATAATTACATATAATTCAACAAAACTTGTCGATAATATAATCAGTTATACTTTATTCGATACCAGCTTTCAAACTAAACAAGATACATAAAGTTGGAAGAAGAAGATGAAACAGATTAATTTATCTAACTACTTTCACTCCGATTCCTGATAGCCTGCACTACTGCTTGTTTAACCACCTGGGCATCGATGCTATCAGCATGTCCTTCATTCTGCAATGAAGATTCTTCTTATAGTTTCATTAGCATAAAATACTAGAATCTCAAGAAACTACATATTTGTCTTCAAATATTAGTTCATCAGAATAATTAAGATAGAAACAGCATAAAATTGTCACGACGGCGAATTCAGGTTGATTTCATTCCAAATCAAGCGTACACTTTCAAGTTATGAGTTTGATTCTTGATGGTGGCATGTGCAGTAATTCAAATGCATAAAAATATTTGTGATTGATGTAAAACTGTAGAAGTTATAATGCATTGAGCGTAAACTTCTGTCTCCATAAGATTAGTTCGATTATTTCTTGTGTGTTAATGGGATCAATTGACCAAATAAGCAACAGCAACAGCAGCAGTTATAAGCAGATTTGAACTGATAAAGAAGTAAATTATTACCTCACTAACGGCTTCGAGACGAAAATTATTAGAACAAGAAACCCTAGCATCGAGTACTTCAAGGCCCAGCTCCTCGAATGCTTCTAGTATGGAGACAAGCAAACCAGTGCAATTGTTTTCTGAATACACATTAATTAAGAAACCCGTTTCTAGGGTTTCCACTTTAACCTGCTGGAATTTATTAAATCAAAAATTATGACAACTTAATGACTAGTTAAACAGATAATATCATAGACAGTGTGAAGTTAAAGCTGGCTTGCCTCAGAAAACAGTTAGGCATATATAGAAAGGATTGGACGCTTTAATAGAAAAAGTATAGTTTATTCTTCTTCCTTAATAATGATATAGACATGTACACCGACGTACAAAACATGCCAAATGAGTTGTTCGAGTGGATAAGTATACCACTGGTAATGACGAGGTTTGTTCGTCTGAAGTTTGTATTGTTGCAATATCTTGATTTATTTTTTGTACTTTTTCCTTCAACTCCTCTATGTATCTTGTTGCATCCACAACTATTGATGTCGTAGTCACCTGTAAAATATAAATAGGGTTTTCGAGTGTCTATTTATATGATCATATCTGAAAACTCAAAATCAACAGATATAATAGAAAAAGAAGAGAAGTAGAACAAGAAGAGGATTTGAAGAAGGAAATTTAATAATATTCAGTACTAAATTGGTTTTCAAAATTCAATAAACAGTACACTCTTATGAGACAAATGGCTAACAAAATAAGAAATCTCCTATCTTGAACTTCGTAATTAAGGATAGAAAATAAATCAAACATAAGAAAGTCCCACAAAATAAATCCTAACGTTTTTTCATATAGTAAGTGCTTACAGAAGTGGAATTAGTAGCAGAACGAAGTTGTTCATATAGAGCTGCTCTCTTTTGCTTCCTGGAATTCATGCCTCTCTCTCTCTCTCTCTCTCTCTCTCTCTCTCTCTCTCTCTCTCACTCACACACACACACACACACACACATACAGAAACTCTCAGAGAAAACAATAGAGAAGTTCTTGGAGGCTTTTTTATAAAGGAAAATGAGCCATCAAACAATGTATGATTTCTTTGTTTGTTTCCTGCATGAGTACGTACTATACCACAAGCTTCACAGGAGATTATATACTATTGTCCTCTTTTAAGGCTATAAGCCATTGGCAAATTTTGGCCCTTGGTATCTAGCAAGCATGTTTTTGTATTCATAACATATGTCACCAACTTTTTGAGTTATGTTATATGTATAAGGTTGATTGACAAAGTAATATCTACACCAATTATTTCAAAAACAGGTTTTTAAATTATTGAAAATCAATGGTCTGAATTTCATCAATACTTATTTTATTTATCAAATTTGTAAATACAAACTTTTTTAATGAGATTAAAAAGCTGTCACATTTTAAATCATATGTCCTCATAATCAATCTCTCGAATGTGAAAATAATAAACAAGTTTCAATTCATCACAATAAGGTTGATCGACCCAAAAGCATAATGAGTTACGTTCCCAAGGAATGATAAGACAAAACCTGATTTGACATAATGTTGGAAATTTATGTATAGTTTTGGAAGTGTTCCTTAACTACATTTGTTTGAGTCACGTTCTTTTTATAGGAATGTATTTTTAAATAGTATATTAATAAGATATGTATAATTAAAAAATAAGAAAAAATTTTGAATTTGAATGTAACATTATTTTATTGAAAAATATGTTATTGAAATGATATTAAAACACTGTTTAAAAATATTTTTTTTTTTTTCAAAAGAATGGGAATCAAACAGGGGGTATCTGATTATCTTACATTAAGAATGACAAGGTAAATGCACGAGGCACCATCTTAAGAAAATAGATTTACAATTTGTTTGGTACAGATTTTAAGCCAATTAAAAATCAATTTTTTCTACTATTATTTTACTATTGCAATCGTCATTTTTGAATTCTTCATTCACAGGTAAGATTCACTTTGTCTCTAATGATCAAAAAATCAATTATCAAAATTTTTACCAAACAAGCGCTTAGTCCATGTTTGGTCCCTATTTTCTAAAACTCATTTTTCCGTAAATTCATTTTTAATTATACATTATATGAGACTTAAAACTTTTATCAACTTTTCAATCATGCGTTTCATTAATTTTTATCAAAATTTACTATTTTTTTTTCTATATCAAACGGGGACTTAATCAAATGTGTGAAATGTATACACTTTAAACAATTCTAAAGCTTCTAAGAAAATTACTGAAAGCTGGGTCATTTATTAGTCATTACACAAAGAAATGGATTAAATGCGATCTTGGACAAAAGTTAGATAGTATACTGACTAGGATTTTTATTTATTTTATTTACATCAACTAAATATGAGAGTGTTCATGTACTTTTTTCTTGAAATTATTTTAAATTCCATTAGTAACAAGAATTTATAACTTAGATAAGTTGCAAGGTCTAAATATTCGTGAGCAAAAAATTGAAATATTTAGATGAACTCAAATAAGGAACAAATTTAATGAATATAAATCTGAGAGAAGATGGAAATTATTCCCTAACTACATATAAAAGACAATAATGTAATTAGCACTGGCAACTGTAGGGGTGGGCGCGAATCGGTTCGATTTTAAAAAGAATCGAACCGAACCAAAATTTTTGGGTATCTAGTACAAGGAACCGTCAGGTCCAAATATAATTATAGAATCGTTCGGGTTCGGTTTGGTTCGGTTTTGTACTATAATTAATTTTTTTAATATTTATAACAACATTATATAAATATAACTAATGACATATTTAATGGTTTTGAAATGTCAGAGACTAGTAGACTACGTTGTTTAAATGATCACTACAGTCAAAATTTCGGTCGGTGGAGGTCACAGTTTCGATCAGAGGTCACGACGTCGACCGACGATTGTATAGGTTTTGGAATGTTAGCGAGGTTGCGAGAGTGAGTGCGATAGTCGAGATAGTTTTATGCACTTTAGTGTGGGTGTTTAGAGTCATTTAGTGGATTGGATCTTGTTAGGTTAAGAAATGAAACAATAAAATGGGTCATTGTGCCAAAAATTTAAAAATTAGAAATGAAACAAATTATTTGGCCAAAAATTTGGATTTTAAAAATTGTTAATTTGTTTAGAAAAAATTAAAATTAAAATAATTTGATTTATTCAATAATAAAAATTAGAAAGATTCGATTTTTGGTCTAGAACCGAGAACCGAACCGTACCCGTCGGTTCTCAATTTAAATACCCGTTTAGATATTTAATTTGACAAGAACCGTCGAGTTCGGTTCGATTTGGGAGATTTGTCTAGCCCTAGGCAACTGTATTGCAATTTTAATAAATTAATAATTATTATATGTTGGAATAGTACAAAATTTAGGAGATTCGTGCTCAACTAATACACCTACAAGACGAGAAAGTACCAATCCACAATTAATGGTTCGTTTTTAGGGCTTTTGAAAAGTCAAAAGTTATTCTTAAGGTTAAGAAGTTATTTTTGAACATATTTGAATAACTTTCTAGAACTGTTTTATCTTGTTAAAAGAGTTTTAAAGGAAGTTGGTCTATGATAACTTTTTCATGAAGTTCTTCTATAAGAAATATAGCAGGACATAAGATCAAGTGCAAGAGTATGGTTTAATAAATCAAGAAAATTCAATGGATATAAAACATTTCACGTCCAAACACGTCTCTAAATAAGAAACTTATGCATTTCTATGATACCAAAATAATTATTGATATATAGTCAATCACTAGTCGTTCAAACTCTTATCTCATTCGTTGATTCGGTCAGTACAATAATAACAACAAATTATATATTATTAAATTACTCTTTTATTGCAACTCTAATGGTCGTCTATCAAAATTGAATCCATGATGTGAATTATCTAATTTAAATGCATAAACTATTAGAGAATTAATAGTCAATTGATTTTCAACACGCTTCACTTGCTACCAAAAGTCCAATGAGTATAGTTTAAATAAGCCCCTGTTTGACTCTCATTACGTGAAAAAATTAATGGGTGGATTAGTGTTTTTTTGAAAAATGAGTGGTTGAAAAAAAATGAAAAGTTTTCGATTTATGTGTAATATTATTTTATGGAAGATTGTGTGGTTAAAAATAGGAGAGAGAAAAATGAAATGTAATGAAATTTAATGTAATGGGGCTCAAACAGGGGCTAACTCTGCTATAGAGACAGGCCTGTTTGAATGGAAAAACCCTAGTTTAAATGTTTGACATTTAAATTTCAATTAAAGTTTCTTGCATGGTGTGATTCTGTAACATAAATTATTGTATCTAAAAGTTTAAAATATGAAAAAGTGAAATATATATATATATATATATATAAAGATAAGGATAAATGATTGATATTTTTCCTCCTTTTTCCATCTCCTAATAGAAGACATGATGTGACATGACCTCTGAACCAATGTTTGGCACTTGTTTGACAACCATTTCTTTTAAAAAAAATTTGCATATTCATTTTTAATCAAACATTCACAGAATAAAATATTTTACAAGTAAACTTAAGGGTGTTTGAGAGCCATTTTTATGTAAAAATACATTTTAGAATAATAACTTGATGGGAAGTGTGTGATTGAAAAATAAGGAAAATTTTTTTATTTATGTGTAATATTATTTTAATAAAAAATATGTGGTTAAAAAGAAGAGAGAGAAAAATGCATTTTGAAAAAAATAAGTACCAAACGGGGGCTAAAATTTTTTCCTACTTTTTAACTATATATTCTTCTAAAAATCTGTACTGAAAACTCTTTTTTTTCCTCTGATAGTCAAACAGGGACTTAAGTTTCACGTGACATACATTCACTACTGTTATATTTACTCAAAACCGCGATGAAATCAATTTTTTTCCAACTACAGTATCTGATCATTTGTCTGTTTCTCGTCGTGCTGAAAATATTTGTGTATTTCTATTTTAATTGATAATAATTCATTTTGTCACCTTTCCACAAAGACAAAGCAGAACGAACCTACCTATTCACGTGTGTGCATTAATCATGACAACCATAGGCTTTTCTCATATTCTTTTATCAATAAATCTGCTTGTATAGAAGCAGATCTGTCAGAATTTCACCAGATTCTGGTTGGTCTGGCCCTTTTTTTTTCCCCCATGTCTACCATAAATCTACCAAGTGTACTCAGTTGAAATTCTGGCAGAATTTTTCTGTACGAACAGTAGGTCTGTTCTTTTAGGATCATGCTACATGATCACAAACTTTGACACATCGGTTGACACATTCACTCACATGAGGAGGTCGGCATTATTTTATTCACTCAGAATCCACACCTCGGTTGTGAGAGATGTGTCAAACAATGTGGTCATTTAGCTTAATTCCTTCTTTTTGCCCTATACTGGCTCTTTCGAGTAGTATAATTTAAAGTTCTTTCCCTCATACCATTTTACATGTAAGCTTTGTAATTTTTCTCCTCTTCTTTGCCACAAGTTTTGATGAACTAAACTGATTAAAGGATGATCCTTTTTTATTTATGTAAATTATTAATTTTATCATTAATTTCAATTTACTAACGGTACCATCGACGTATTAATTGGAAGGGGAAAGTCGTCATCGTTTCGTGTTTGTAAAGGTTGAACTCCAATTTTAAGGGTCCCCCACCGTCCCTGCCTTGAAGCATCGTGAAGGAGGTAAATCGCAGGTTATGCCTCCAAGAGTACAGGGTGGAAGGCTGCTTGTACACTTGCACTTACCCAAGAGCTAAATCCATATTTCAGGATTCGAACCCTTTGTACATTGGAGGTCAGGTCGATGAAGCTCTTCGTTCCATTTGGATTCTTCTATATCTTCATTTTCCTTGCCATACTAAACATGTAGATATTTCATATCATGGGTGGTCCAATAATATTGTCTTTAACAAAGGAAAACAACTCATTTCTTACACTTAACGTGCCCCTTAGATGGAGTAATAATACAGTGGATTAGATGTGGCGGGTCAGAAAAATCA